AAATGAGGTCGGAGTAGTTTTTCAGTCTGAAAAACCAATAAATATGATGTTCAAAAAAGACATCACATTTATAGAAATGAAGCATAAGATAGAAAGAAAAATTCGAGCTGCAGTGGATGGTTTGAGGTATAGGTTTATGATATGCTCTAACCCAGTCAGATATGCTGCAGTTCCACTTGAAGAAGATGATGATATTGGAACCATGGTTGGATTACATGAGTCAACCAATATAGCAGTTATTGAATTATTTGTTGATGTGCGTAACATATGTGATGTTCCTGGGTCATCAAGAGGTGTGGCTCAAAATCCATCTGAAATGGCTTTATATAGTCAGTTTGAGGAGCCGACATACAGGTTCCCGAACAGTTTTATGGCACTATTGGAAAGTGTAAATGAAGTCGGGGGGACATCTATAGCAGCAGAGTATGAGACGAGAAACATACCGGAATTGGTTGTTGATATTGACGCTGAAAATCGATGGGGAGAAATTCATGATGATTCAAGCGAAGATGAAGAAACTGAAGAACCCGTTTTGGGCGGCGACGAAAATATTTTTGGTGGAGGTGCAATTGATGATACTAGTAATGATTTGATACTAAAAATCATTGTTAAGGTAAAAAAAGTAGTCTAATTTCAATAAATAATTTGTAATAAATAGCAAACGAGTTTACAATTGTTGTCGATGTCGGGGTGTTGTTGAATGATAATGTCGGGGCGGACGTCTGATACGTTGTGGCCGTTGTGGCTCAGGAGTATTGTACCCATCCCCCTCATTCATTGGGGGTATTTGAACTGTCATGTGTTCAAAGTCATACGTCGACGAAAACGTAGGAGAATAGATGGGTGCCTCAGGCTGCACAAACTCTGGTATGTATGCCGGGCCAGTAGAATCATCAACTGCGTGATGCAACGATTGTGGTGCGCTATTATCCACATCGGTCATTTCCGCTTCAGTTTGTAGAGATGAACTCCCACTCCCACTCGGTAGAGAGTATTCAGCTTTACCAAATCTTTTCTTAAACCTCAAAAATTGTCGCCTCTCTACTATTGTTGTGAGGAACGGCTTTCCATTATCCAAAAAATAAGCAAGGTAAGCCGAAGTCTCAAAATTAAAGTCGTCGTCTTGAATGGCGTCAAGAGTTGGCATGAATGAAGCCCTATTGTTCCAAGCATTAATGTAGGTTGCATGCTTCTCAACCCAATTAACGCTTTCTTTACGACGACCATCAAATCTGTGCAGTTCGTCATGCGTCTCAACCCAATTCACTGGACGACGACCATCTAAGTTTGGAGGAGGTCATGATCCCATGGACTCCGCGGAATAGGTTGGTGGAAGTGGAATTGCCTCAGCACTCTATCCCCAAATTGGATCTCAACAAAAGCAAAATTGATCAATGGTGTAACAGCACACCAATATTGAAACCCATCTAAAATATCGTGCGGTATCAACGCAAATAATTCTTCATTCATGTATGGTCTCCAATTAAACTGTAAAATTACAAAAACAATAAAATTTATTTAAATCAGATAATATAGTTAATTTAAATAATAATTAAAAAATACAAATTATGCATACCTCCTTTTTGGCCTTAATGTCGATCTTCAACCTGAACTCTTTAATGTTGTTGTGCACCAACCCTGTGCCTTCAATTTTATGCCTCCATCTGTATATCAATCAAAACAAAAATAGAGACATTTTGTTCAATAATTTTAATCAAAATAAATATTTTTTAATTAATATTTTATATTAAAATAGAGGATTCATATTACCTTCCGGCAAGTGGAAAGTCAACCGCAGTCCGACTAATCGGTGTCAAAAACGGAAGTCTATGCCAAGCCCATGATTGTAGCAGCAATAGACATCCACCGATTTCTACTGTATTATTATCATTCACGACTAATGACGCCTTGCACATCTCACGATACAAGAACGCCAATATCGCTGAACCCCAGCTATATTGCCTACAATTCTCAAAATTTGTTAAAAAAAGAAGATACTGAGTGTGAACATAACTACCGGATTTATCAGGCATCAAAATTCCCCCAATCAATTGTAATATATACGCTCGTGTTGCATATATAATTTCGTGCTCCGTACTATTTGATTGAAGTTGAAATTCATTCTTCAACCATGACAACCTCACCCGCCACCCTTTACACTCTGGTGGTACGGGCGCTTTCCCAAGAAACAAGTTGCAAAGTTGTTCCACCTTATTAAACTCATGTGACATTACCACCGGCATCCCATTAGTTTGGACCCCGAGTTGCATTGCCACATCCTCCAAAGTTATCGTGCATTCGCCACACGGCAAATGAAACGTGTGCGTTTCTGGTCTCCAACGTTCAATCAACGCACTGATCAAACCTGGGACCAACTTGTAATCTCGCACAAATGTGATATACCAAAATCCAGCCTCTTGCAAATTTTCTTCTATTAGTGGGTGTGGCTTGGGCACTTTATGTAGTCGAAGACGAAGGACTCGCTGCTCGTCCTCCTACAATTAAATATTTCAAAAAAATTATCACAATCATAAAATAATATTCAAATATTTATTAATTATAATTCATTAAACAAATATTTTATTCACCATTATTCCCAAATGACTTGAAATATGTTCATTGTCAAGCCTCAACAGTGGAATTTGGTCAGCCATTGGAATGAATCTGTAAAAAAAATTAAACAACAATATTTAAAAAATCATTTAATATAATCTAATATAAACTAACTAACTAATTTACAACACTAAACTTTAATAATAGATTATAATATAATAAACTAATAAACTAACAAACTAAACTTTTTAAAATATAAGTTAAACGTAAACGCTAAACCCTTAAACAACTAATAAAATATTCTTCTATATAACTAAAACTAACTAATAAACTATTTTTTCATTATAATATACTACTAATAAACTTACTACCTAATTTTTATATAATAAATTCAACAAACAAATATAACTTAACTATTTAACTAACACAAACTAATTAAATAATTTTTTATATAACTAACTATTAACAATACAAACTAATTAATTATTTTTTAACTATATAACTATCAAACATATACTAATTAAATATTTTTTAATTTATGTATACTATAACTTAAACTAACAATCATATAACCCTAAACTAACAAACTAATTAGCTGCTTTTTGTTTACCCTAAACCCTAAACTAACAAATTAAACATTTATAATAATAAACTAATTTAAATACAAAAAATTTACCTTATCTCCCTTTCGAATTCTTCTTACTTTCCTTTCTCCCTTTCTTTCTTTCTTTCCTTTCTCCCTTTCTTTCTTTCTCGGCTGCAATCACTTCTCCCTTTCTTCTACAATCTCTTCTCCCTTTCTTTCTTTCTTTTATAACCGGCTGCCTCAATTATTTCACCAACCGACTGCCTTAATTATTTCACCAATAATTGTACAATTGCAGCTTCAATTATTGTACCAATTATTTCACATGCATGCAGCAATGGTTCACATGGTTTCATTGGGAGCCGTAGGCATGCAGCATGCACACGTGAAGGAATGGATGATGGGGCTGCATGTGAATGGATGATGGGGCTGCATGTGAATGGACGATGGGAATGGCGCCGGGACTACATGGCGACCTATAAGGTCGCCGGGACTACATGGCGACCTATAAGGTCGCCGGGACTACATGGCGACCTACAAGGTCGCCTAGGCTGCATGGCGACCTCTCTCCTATTCCACTGCATGGCCACCATTCCACTGCATGGCCACCTCGCATGGCTCGCACTCGTATGGCTCGTATGCATGGGGACCTCGCATGGGGAGAACGACCTCTCTATTCCACTGCATGGCCACCTCGCATGGCTCGCACTCGTATGGCTCGTATGCATCTATTCCACTGCATGGCCACCTCGCATGGCTCGCACTCGTATGGCTCGTATGCATGGGGACCTCGCATGGGGAGAACGACCTCTCTATTCCACTGCATGGCCACCTCGCATGGCTCGCACTCGTATGGCTCGTATGCATGGGGAGAACCAGAACCATTGGCATTGGCTCGTACGTTCCCGTATGTCGCCTGGATTGCATGGCGTCCTACAAGATCGCCTGGATTGCATGGCGTCCTATGGCATCACTGTAGAATTCACCCCATCCCAGCAATTAATCTGGGATGTGCACCATATCGTGAAAAAAAAATCGAGAACATTATCTCGTGAATTCACCCGAGAATCTGAGCACTGTCTTGACTTCAATTGTTTTTATTTTTGTCACTGTAAAAAGATATGAAAAAGGCACAGAACCTTCTTTATTATTATTTTTATATCAAAGAAAAATTGAAAATTACTGTATCATAAATATTTAGTTTAACTCTTTTTTTATAAATATGAGATGAACATGATAAGTAATATATATTTTAAGACTATCAACTATTTAATAATAAATATGAGATGAATATGACATTACTTTATGGTGATACGTCAATATCACTGTTAAAATTTTAAAGATATTTAAAAAAATAGAATTAAAACGTTAGATACAATTTAAGAAACAAAATAGTTAGATGACCAGAACATAACTACAAGAATATATGGGTGATTAAATATGTAGTTTAACCAAAAATGAAAATGGTGGCCCTCCAACGAACAATTAGAGTTGGTTAACACTACAGTTTTTGTTCAATGATACTTTTGGAATTTCAGATTAGATTCTTATAATATATTCATCATAATCATAATTGTAGGCTACGAAATATTAAAATTAGCATCAATTAATATATTATATCTTACAAATGTGGGTGCTTTTTGCTCATAAGACCAGAAATACCCAAAATTTACATCGGATAATTAGAAAATTAGAAAGAAGACAAAACCATTGACAAAACCCCAAAAAAGGTAATAAAAAAAGAGAGCAAAGAATCCTCCCCCTTTTTTTAACCTAAGCATCGTGGTGGTTCATGCACCTGCTCCATTTTAAATTTTTTTGTATGTACAGCAGCCTTGGATTGGAGAACGAATGGTCACTACTAGAGCTCAAGTTTCATCTGACCTGACCCTGTGTTTAAAACAACAGTTCAATACAAAAATAATGTTAAAAAATATTTTACCGCTTAAGGTAATTACTTGTTCTTACCCTGGAAATTCTCTGCCCTGCTTTGATTTTGGCCAATCCCCGTCTCAACTATGGTTTGCAGGTCACCCTCACAGAATGTTAGGTACTGCAAACATAATTGTGCAAAGCTTTAGATCTTTTACTGTTGAATTAAAGGATCAAACATGCTTAAACATTATAGTTTAAAAAAACTGTGAAATTCAAATAAAAAGAAATAACCGGAGGTAGAGTCTGATTTGGGTCCCCTAAGGAATGGGTCGCTGTCCCATGCGGTGCTGGATTTGGGTGGGTCGGGTGTCCAAAAATGGGTGATGCCGAGGAATCTATTGGGAATATCTGATGTGTCAAACTGTTGTTGTTTGATTGAAATACCTGCAACAAAAAAAAGGTAAATCCTCAACATTTCAAAGATCTGAACTCATTTATATATAAATTTTGATGACTTACACCCTTTGGCATTAAACCATCCACTTTAAAATCCACCCCGGTATTCACTGAAGCTAGCTTCATTGAAAGGAACTGCCAATAAAATATTATTCATAAAACCACTAAGTCAAAAACCTTTAAAAAAGAATAACTTCCATCCTAAGAAATTGAAGCTCCTCACGTTCATCCATAAATGTTTAATCTTTTTTTTTACCTCAACTTGACGCTGGAATGATTGAACGTAGTTTATGATTTCATCCAGCATTAAGGCTTTTCCGGTTACCTACAAGTTGGAAAATTCAAACACCATCATATTTTAGAATTACATTGATGAATTTTATTTTACTGCGTTTTTTAATAAATTCCAGACCTTGTTGCACCCAGGAACAAGATTTTGCAGAAGCTTCATTCTCTCACTGATTTTCTCTCTACGGACCTGATAAAGTGAAAGATTATAGAGTCGATGCGAAATGCTTTGAATTGAGGGGACAAAAAAAATCTGGGTTTTTACGATTCTTACTCGTTCAGCTAAACTATGGTTGTCAGTGGCTTGGCCCCTTCTTGCTCTAACGTGAATGTAGTCTTTGGGAGGCTCGGGAGGTTTTGTGTTTGCATTTCCTTTTGATTCTTCCTCTGTTTTGACTGAACCATTTTGGTTCCCATTGCTTTCTGTTGACTTGCATCGCTTCTCCTTTGATTCTTCGTTTTGTTCAGTCATCTGGAAATTTGACACATTAGTGATTACTGGAAGTTCTAAAACAATTTTTGTATGAAATCTGTTTACCTTCGATGGAGATGTTGAATTCTGATTTGCTTTTGCTTCGGGAACCGTTTTTCTTTTCCTTGAATTCGTCCTTTTCGAAGCTTTGAAACCAGGATCGCCATTAGTAATGGAGGATTCCTCTTGAGAACTGGCTAACTCGGATCGATCCTGCAATGGGGTATTACTCTTGTAACCAATATGAGACGCCGCCATTGCCTTTAAAGAGGGACTACTGGAAACACGAGGTAGCTTGGCATTTGACGAAGATGGATTAGATCTGTAACCAGAGATTTCATTATAATTGTTGTTGAGTCCGAGTTGACTAGTCCGGCCGTTGAAACTCCGGCTTCCGAAACAAGAGAATTTCGCCGCTCTCTCTGCAAATCCAGGATCGGCCGAGAAATCCGCCACACTGGAATTCATCCCCATTGATTTTCCCAAACCGGGAAGCTTCTCCGTGACCGTACCGTCCATCACCGGCAAGTTCAATTTAGGAGGAGAATTCAACGGGGTGCTGTAACAAGAAGTGTTGGTGCTGTCGTTTCCATTGATGTAAGAAGAAGAAGAAGCCATTAAGGGGTGTGGGGAGATGTCGCCGGAGTTATCGATGCTCCCCGGCTTGCCCAGCAGTTCCCTGAACATGAATATGTCGTTGGAGGTACTGGAACCCGACTCGAACTGTAGACCGTAATCTGATGAAATCAGCTCCGGAGCTTGAATTTCCATGGCTGAAGATAGGGACTGCCCGAAGTGAAATGGCGGTCCGAGCGGTGGAATTCCTTGAGCACTGACAAAGAACTGGTTCTCCATTTGATTAAAAAAGCTAGTTCAATGTGAAAATCCAGATAAATAATCGGTTTAATTGTTTGGTATTTAAGTTTGGGTTCTGTATTTTCCAGGAAATGATTGAATTTTCTATAGAAGCAAAAGGTGATTCCAAGGGATACAAGGAAAATGCTCAAGAAAATACGAGAGAATAAGGCAAACAAATGGGAAGGCTTAAGTTGGGCTTCAATGCACTTATATAGATCTAACTGAAATATTATTTTTTTAAAATAAAAAAAACAATCATATATATTTTACGGTAAATGATCATCAAATTATGTTGATTTAATCCTTTTGGGCAATAAACTTATAATATTTATATAACCATTTATATTACAAAATAATGATAAATTTAAGGATCATTTTCTAATAATTTAATTAATTTATAATAATTTGGTAAATAAAATTATTATTTTATAAATTTTAAGACTTCAATAATTAGAAAAAAGTATATTTACATAATTAAATAATTATTCATATAATTTATTTTATTTTATTTTATTTTATAAAAGAATTGTTATTATTCCTTAAGAACTTAGGTTCGAGCATCCTAGATGTAATGTGTATGAGCGTTTAATGTTAAGAGGTTAAGATTTATCTTTAAACATATATTGTAATGTAAATGAACCAAATGATATATTATTTAATCTCTATAAAAATAAACTTCAATTTAAATGATATGTGGCATTAAATATAAATTATAATCACTTAATGAAATTGTCAACAAAAAGAAGTTATAGGTTTTTTTTTTGGAAAAGTTTATTAGGTGAGGAGTAGTTTCTACGTCCAAGATTAGAACATATCTAATACCTTAGGGTTTACATAAAAATTTACAAATTATCTATTAAGAGTAACAGTGATAAGATTTGAACTTGATCTTATAAATTTAAATTCTTAAATCTAAATCAATTGCATAAACCCTCTTAACAAAAAAAATATAGTTTCTTAGATCTTTATTTATAGGTCGAATAGAGCACTTTTCAAATCGTGTATTTCTCTACTTTGACAAGGATATTTGAAAGATTGTATTGCCTTTTGAGAGGTAACATTCACTTTTAAAATTACACTAATCCAAAGAAAATTGATTCTAAGGAAATAAATTCTATCACGGTGCAATAATTAAAATTTTTCTTTTATTATTATTATTTTCATCATTAGTTTTAATAGTCAATGTTAGTACTTTTATTTTTGACAGTTATTTTACTAATAATTTATTTTATTATATGAAATTAAGTTTCAACTAATTATGCTTGTTGATGTATATAAGTTATCAATAAATAAATAAAAATTATAAACATATATATTTTAGGAATAAATCTAGATTATTTTAAAAAGTTATTTATACTTTATAAATATGATTTTTATAATTTTAAAACTGTAAACGAAAAAATTAAAACATTTAAGAGAAAAACAATAACTCATAAACTTTTTTTTAAAAAAATTGTGACAATTTCTCATTTTCTTTTACCCTGATGTAATTTTGTACGAGAATCATTTACATGGACGAGCCCATGTTTAAAATTGATAGAATTAAACTTTGGTCCCAAACTTATCCGGTTTAATTATTTTTTAGACCTTTAAATTGAAATTAGTAAAAGTAAACTCTTAATCTTTATGAGTTTGTTACTTTTTAGTATTTTAAAGTTAAATAATTTATCCTCTCATAACCCAATCCTAACTCCGATCATAATCATTTATATAATTAACATAAAAAGTACTTAAATTTAACCATTTAAGTAACAAAACGAACTCATTGCAACCCTCATGTCTGTGTTCAAAGAAAGGACGACGGCATGAGCCACCTGAACTCAATTATTCAACCATTTTGAGTTGTAAATCGTAAGTTAATCATACCCTAATACAAACTAATGAATGCATTAGCGCATCGATCACTTAAATTATTTTTTAACTCATACTATATCACCATTACGATTCCCAGACGAAAGATCTCGGAAGCTTTGAGGTTTAATCATTAGAAAGAGGAGGATAAAAAAAAAGCCAGGCAGACAGAGGGAATATGATTCATTATTTTTATTTTTTTACATCCTTGTTGAATGTCGGAAGACGCAGCGTTTTTGGCTTATTAAGGAGATGGATCTTGTCGGCTACATCCAAATTTCATTTTCTAAATTAAAAATAAAACAAAAACTACTGATTTTGCCTGCTTCTTGTAACCACTCCCGAATTATTAGCTGCTTTTGTCGTGGGGTTTGGACAGCATATTATAAGAATCTTATTTCTTAAATTCAAGGACAACTCTAAATTATATATATATATATATATATATATATATATATATTCGATTTGATCAGTTTTACTATTAAAAATATAATCATAAGAGGAGCTGCTGCAGCTTCTAACTATTCAAACTTTTCGACGGACGTTGATGTTTCTATGGATCAATCATTTTATGTAAAATTTTGTTTATTTATTTATTTGTTTCGAAATTTAAATTTTAGGTATAAAATACTATAAAATTATAAGGAGAGTTTCATAAAATTAGGATATATTATAATAAATTAATAAATTATTTTATTTATAAGTAATAAAGTACACAAATTAGTCACTAAGAAATGAAATATCACCATATAATGAGAGAATTAAAAACTAAATAATGTATACAAACAAATATCACTATTAATGATATTTCTTATATTGCATTTTTTTTATTTTAAATTTTTATAATTTTATCTTTGTGATACGTTTTTTTTTATATTTGTATGTGGTTTAACCTTTGTTTTTATTTAATCTTTTAGGGTTGAATTTGACGTTGGAATTTCGCCAACCCCCGTCATCTGCCGCGGTGCTCTCGTTAATGCTCTTTGGTAAACGAATAACTCACCTTTGACTGGGAAATAATATGAACTCTGCCATATCATTTATATCCCTGCAATGTATATATATATATATATAAGCTGATCTCCACTCCTTCCTCAAATATACCTAAAATTTATTAATTTCTCCATGTTTACTTTCAACGGTGATGAATAGGATTTTTTAAAATCTTAAAATATAATAATAATTTTTTAATTATTAAAATCGTTTAATTCGTGATATTTCAATCGAGGAGAAACAACTGAAAAAAGAACGTGACGAAATGGAAACTGAACATTAAATTCATATGTCTAGGAAATGATTCATGTAGGGTTAGGGTTTTGAAGATTGAACAGTGGTCAAAGAAATCAAGCTTACGTGTCTGTAATGCATGGGCGAGCAGGCAAAATCCCCGCCGTCCAATCAGATCCAGAACCCTACTCTGATTCTGCAAATTCATTACTCATTTAATTCCTCTGGTTTGCCAACATTTTTCAAACCTTAATTTATTACATTCTCATGCCCATATTCATCTCTACCTTATCTGCATTCAGTGATATACGATTCATATTTGATATTATGATGGAACTATGGAAGAAAAATTAAGAAGCTATTAGAAATATCGTTCTTTGCTTATTTTATTAATAATCAACATGTTTTATTCACAATATAATTTATTATTCTATAATAGATATTTAATCAAATAAAACTACTAAATAACATAAATAAAGATAATTGTTATAACGAGAGTATATTGTATTTAATTTTTGAAATTTGAATTTAAAAAGATTATTGCATAATCTTTAAAAAAAAACAAAATTGATTGTCTCTATTTACGATTTATTCCTTTTTTTTGACCGCCGGTGACCATAGCGGAGTTTCGCGTCGCCCAGCAGTGACCGTCCCGAAGGAGATCTTCGGCCGCCCGCCGTCCCTTGTTTTTTCTTTTCCGTTCGCGTGCAAGTCGGTGGTTGTCTCCATCCTCTTATCTGTTTTGCACTAGATTAGGCTGAATTTTTTTAACGGTAAAATTACATTACAAACTCCATTTATTTGTGATATATTTGGAAGGGTTAAATTGCGTGAAAACCCCATAGTTTTCAGCGTTATAATTTCGAAGAGTTAAACTACATGAATCCTCCCGTACTTTTGATTTAATTTAAATGGCCAAATTGCATGTAAACCTCAAAACTTTTCAATATTTAGATTTTAAACTTCTAGGTTTTAAATCTTCTATACTCTGTCTTTTTTTAGTTTGATAATTAATTTCGAATTTACTGTTTGATTTTAATTAACAATATTTTTACGTTATTTATTCATTAATTTTTATTAGTTCTAATTTCATAGCATTTGATATTAATTGTTATCATTCATCTTAACAATTTTATACTTTATTTTACTTCATATTAATTGTAATTATTTGAATCAGATAATATTAATTTTGATACGCAAATTTTGATATTGATCATTAATTTTAATTTCAATGTTTAATTTTAACTGGATATTCATTTTTATCATTTCTTTTGATTTAGAATTGATTTTGATCAAATAAATTTTAACTTGAATTTTATAACTATTTGGACTAGTTAATGAATCTTAATTTGACTCCTTCAAAACAAGCAAAAATGGAGCGTACAAAACATCTCGATATGAATTCAGAAGATATCAATATTGAGGTCCATTGAAGGATGAATGTTATCTAGTGAATCACACGACTAAACCTTGAAGGAGAAAATTGATAGACCTAGTAGAAAAGTGTGTAACTCTCCATTTATAAATATTTATCTCGAGTATTCTGCTCCTCCATTGCAACGTTGTGATAAAATAAAGCTTGATGTTAATTTTGAAGATAATGTAAAGCCATCTGCTGATGGTCCACCAAAATTTCCTAATGAGATTATTAAATTTCAATTTGGTGAGGATCAATTTTCTGATCAATTAGTCACGTTGAGGAAAATTCCTACGAAAATAATATTAAATAAAACCCTCAGATTGAAATCTATGAAGATAATCAATTAAAAAAATAAGAAAGAGGTTAAGAGAATTCAAATTCGTTTGAAGATTGCTGAGGATTCTATTCTATCCTTGTATGTTAATTTTGTTTCTTTGTAATATATATATAATCGGTCGTCAGCGTTTTTGGCAGCCCCGACAGCTTCGAAATATTTAAG